AGACTCTCTCTCTCTCTCTCTCTCTCTCTCTCTCTCTCTCTCTCTCTCTCCCTCACACACACACACACATATCTATCTTTACTTGCCATGGATCTCTTCTTTTCTCGATTTTCATGGATTGAAAGCTCTCTCTCTCTCTCTCTCTCTCTCTCTTATGTGATATGATATGTTTTCCATTATGTTTCTTCTTTTTTTTCTAGTAGATTTATGTTAGTTTTATGCTATGCCAGTGCAAAACGAATGAAACAAGAAATCTAGGTCACATTTCAAACAAACAAGTCTTTTAATTAAGCTCTAAAATACGACACAAAACAAGGAAAGTAAAGTGGCCCTGGGAATTGTTTTTGAACGGATGTGGAATGTAAAAGCAAGAAATGTACATCTCCTTGCTTTAGGAAGTCCTTGTCTCAATGGATTCCTTTTGTTAGGGCTGCTTCTTTCTAACAAGAAAGGAGAGAGATAGAGAGAGCGGCTAAGACATTGGTTATCCTGATTTAGGAAGTCCTTGTCGTTTATATTTGATACCAATGCTTCCTTCTAACAGGAGAGAGAGAGAGAGAGAGAGAGAGAGAGAAGAATCTTATGTTAAAAAAGTCAGATGCGGGCACCCAGGCAGTTTTGAGGGCCGCAGGTACCCAGGAGCAAGGAAGGAAAGGGAAGGGCAGGGCAGGGCAGGGCAGGGCAGGGTCTTAAGGAATTGTTAGGGCAGGAGTTTAGGCCTCCTTGGGGAGTTCTTGGGCATTTTTAGGGCCCCAAAACTCTTGAAAGTAAAAAAATGCATAATCACGTAATATTATATCCCGGAGATTTTGTTTTGCAATCCATATTCACAAAATATCAATCTTTCCAAGTTTTGTCCTATCCACAAAATATAAGCCCAAAACGGTAATAAAACACTAAAAATTCTAACTATAAACGTGTAAAAATATTAAAAAACAAGAAAATAAAAAATAAAAGAATACCAAACCATGATTCATTATGCAAAAACTATAAAATAAAAAATAAAAGAATATCATACCATGATTCATTATGCAAAAACTGGAAAATAAAAAATAAAAGAATATCAAATCATGATTCATTATGCAAAAACTATCAAACTTTATTTCAAGGGTCCGGTTCTATAATGTTGCAACCTTAAACAATCCAATTAAGGTGCACCTCCAAATTTTATCATAACTTGTAAATTTTTTGTAAAAAAGTTTTAGTATTATCTTAAAATCTATTTTTATATCTAATTAAAAAATTTTAAATTCTAAAAATGGTTAACATCAAGGAGATCTATAAACATATGAAAATCTTGAAAATGGATGGTCTAGATAATATATTGCAAGATGAACTATTTTTGAGACTCAATATATATATATATATATATATATATATATATTTTATATTCTATATCTTGATGTCTAGATGATCAAATAGATGATTTTTCATCATTAAAATAACGTTTTCAATAGATTTTTGAGGTGCACCTGTAATTCTACATTTTAAGGTTGCAACCTTATATAAACTTTTCCCTTAATTCAAATATTGTATTGCACCAAGCTTTTCAAAATAAATTGGATATAGGTCCAAATTGGGAAATATTCGCAAAATATTTCAAGTTTTCAACTATAAACATGTAAAATATCATAAAGGTAAAAAAAAAAAAAATTAAATTATAACACATTATATAATAAAATATCAAACCTTAATTCAAATATTGTAATACAATAACTTTTTCAAAATGAGCCTGATAATGGCCCAACAAGTGATCTTTGGTCACTAAAAGTCCACCTATGACCGCTCCAAAAGGTATAACGAAGAATATCTTTTGAGATCACAAGAAATTGAAAATCTTGATTTTTTTTTTGATCTTGAAAAAAAAAATCAAAATCTTCTGCTTTATATATATATAATCTTTTTTCTAAAATAAAAAAAGAGATTTTGGAGGACTAAAATGCTCCCCAAATTCATTTTCCCCGCTTTTAAGAAGGGAAACCTCAATATGCCCTAGCATCCGTCCAGGTGCGGCCTAAGTGCCCATCTCAAGGTAGGGACTTTGGAGGACAAAAATTCTCCCCAAATTCATTTTCCCCTTCTTTAGGAGGGGAACCTCAAAACCCCCTCTGGCCTGGGTTAAGGCGCTGCCTAGGTGCCCATCTTAAGGGAGAGCATCTAGGCAGGCGTTTAGACATAAGATGCCTAAAAACCCTGCCTAGCCGTTGTGGCTTTGACCGGTGAATTTTTGAAGAGAGAGTGAGAGAGATGTTAAAGGTTTATGTAGATAGAGAAAGGAGTGTAGCTCATGCTGATGTTCAATGTTGGGAAAGTCCAAGAGCAACAGGAGGCCATGGCTTATTTGAATCATCAACTGTGGACCACAGAATACTAAAATGATGCCATGTCCAGTGAACTGAACTGGACATCAAGGGGTAAAATGCTACTATAGACAAATACATTCTGTGTCTTGTGGAACCGATTTGGAATGCATGCCCGTCATAACTAACCGTCGAGACTCACTTGCTCCACAACCATGTCCATCAACTAACCGTCCATCTTCCTGGCTGGCTTAGGAAGTACCAGCTGTGGTGGTACAGAGCACGTTGAGGCCTTAATGCAAGAGGGAGATGTCCTTTCCATATAAAAACAATTCAAGCCAATTCCAAAGACATTATGTTTTAGATTATAGAGTCAAAAGGAAAGGAGAAGACAAAAAGTGGAGTTCAAATTAGTTTTCAAAGCTCAGCATGAATAGAAACATCACATCTTGTATTGTATGCACGAGAGGTCTCTCGTAAAAACTTCAAACCATTACAATCAGCGATTTATTCGTTGTCGATCTCACTCAAAATCGCATGAATTCGCTTAAAAATGAGAATCGGATTCTGCCTCTAAAACCCTTGAATTGGTCGGATTTCTTGATTTTTCATAATAGTTCAACTTTTTGTATTAAAAATTGCGAGGTTTGGCTTAGATTCCCCTAGGGGAGTTCGGGCAATTATAAATTTTTAATAAATAAGGTTTAATAAATTCTAAAAAATATCTCAATCCTTGAATTTTTATATTTAATTATAGATTATAATATTAATAATATAGTTATTTTTAAATATTTTAATTAAAAAATATCTTATGCTAAAAATACCCCCACCAATTTAAAATATGAAATTCTAAAATTATTATAAAAATGTCCAATTACCCTGCTTAGCCATGTATGCAAGTCACCCATTTGGTGGATATTTACATTTACATCTTTGAAAACTCAAATAAATATTTTTATTTTTTTTATTTAGTTCTCCAGCTGATGATGATGAAGCCGTCTAAAAATTTTAATTTTTTATTTTAATTTTGTATGTTCTTAATGAAAATAAAAAGAGGTCATTACTATATGCAGTTAAACAATCACCTCTAACATGATTTCTGAAAGAGTGATTTTATTATGTTGCTATAAGTTATATAATTGTGCAAGTATTTCATGAAATCACTCCCCAAATTTAAAAAGAAATAAAAACAAAAAGGGAACTCAAATTGGCTTATTTAAGATACCAGTAACCCCAACCTACTTGCCTAATTAGGAATTAAAACTAGCATTGTACTAGACTTAAGCCCAATGCTTCAGCCAAAATTGACTTAAATTAAGGTTAGTCCTCTTCTCTTTATGTTTGTCTTTCTCTTCACATACTTAAACCTTCACTCTCTATGTTTTTCTCTCTCTTCATATACTTAAACATGCTTAGGAGTACAGCGAGCCCTTGGAGCACATTGTATATTTACTCCTTCAGGTAGATGACTTAGGAGGATCATTTCAATCTCAAATTTAGAATTCAATTTAAAACCATTAGTATTTTAATGAAAACTCAGATTTAGAGTTCCTTAAAACTTAGATCTACCATCCAAGGAGGTTAGTTCTCCTAAAATTTGGGGTCCTAAAAGACGTGCATATATGAGGTTTTAGCTAAGGGCCTGAATATAGGGCATATGCTCCCACGCTCTTTTGGCTTTTGCTGCTGTATAGTCCTCACTCGAACTATTCTTTCTCTCTCTAAATTGTATAAGTCAAATGTGTTAATGATAGTTTTTTTAATGTGATATGTTAATAATAGGTTTTATGTGGTATGTTAATGATAGGTTGTTTTACGTGGCTTTAGACTGTATGGTAGAGATAGAGATAGGGCTATAATTTTTTTAGTTGGATGATGTAGATTTGATATATTATTATTTTTTAAATAGTTCATTAATAAGAATATATCATTAAAGTTCAATACGTCAGTTATCTAAGATGTAATAAAATCTATACCCTTCAACTAAAGAGAAAGGTCTTTATAATTCCCTTTACCATCCAGCTGTCCAATTTTGATCAAGAGAACTACTCATCGTTTGATCTTAGATCCAACATTTCAAAATTTTATTTTTAACTTTTTTTTATACAAATTGTATGAATATAGAAATTGGTATGTGTCTGCTTGTCATTGAGGCGCACCTATAAAAAAATATTAAAAATAATTTTTTGATAAAATATAATGATCAAAATATCCTTTGAATCTTTCAAAAGTATTTTGATTATTTTATTTTATTGAAAATTTTATTTTTTTTGTTTTTTTACTGGTGCGAGTTTAATAGATATCCAAAATTTGGTGTTAAAATAGTTTA